TCATCCGAAGTAGATTTGAGGCAGTCCCTGGCTTGCATGCCAATTTATTGCTTTCCTAATTTAATTTGTTAATTAATTAGGGTTTTGTACATATTTGGACTGTAATTATTCATTTGGGACTGTATACTATATATTATTTATTCGGACCCTCCGAGTGAGGGCACAACTGTAATAAGTGTGCGTGTGTGTGATGTATGTCTTCTAACCCCACGTCTTTCTCCCTTTTATTTATCCGCTTATGATGGTTAGATTAGGACATGTTTCAATTAGCATACAGTATGATAGCATGCTTGCATTCATTTCATCTATCTTGCATGCACCGGGCTCGGTGCATCATACTAACTGCATTGTATTTTCAATTCTAAGTTGAATACATGTTAGCTGTAGCATTTCATATGTCATGTTTAGAATAGCCGAGCCTGCTATAGTTGCACTTTTGCATGTGTTGCATTAGGCATTTCTGTATAATTAGGATCATGCATGGATTTCTAATTAGCTTCTGTTTTGGCTTGGAGTACTCGGTAAGTTTTATGCTTTAGCATCCTTGCATGCGTGTGAGTGACTGCCATGAATAGCATGCTTACCATGAGGCTATATGCTTATGTGATATAACTGTCTGAATGCCTGTGGGTGAGGTTGGGTTATTTGGATTGGAACAATTCATCGATTGTGAGTTTTAAGCCCACTAGATAGTAGCAAAACCATTGTTTCTAAGCCCACCCGAGGTGGCAAAAATCTGCATTTTAGCCTACTTGCGAGTAGCAAACCACTTTCAAATAAACAAAACACGAGATGTTTTGTTCCAATTTAGACGATCTAGTCTATACTTGTATGTTGTGCGCATCACATAGTAAATCTAGGCTAATAACCGAATAAGAACGCATTAATGTTTTCAAAAAATAGATATCATGGTTAGTAGAGCCGATCTTTGATCGGGCGAGCGGGGGTGCTCACGAAGTGACCTTCCCCAATCATACCCAAGTTCCTGAGCCGAGGCAACTTTGGTGATGACGGACACGTGGCCTTAGGCAAAACGAGTCAGGGTTTCCTAAATTTCCCCAAAATAAAATATTTAGGTGGCGACTCTGTATCTGGCAAAGCAGTCCATGTTTGGCACTTCTTTAAAAATCTGTTTTCTCAAAACGATTTGTCGGATTTGGACTCTTTGGTTCAGATTTAGAACCGTGACAATTTGAGAGTCCGAACTGTAGTGAGCCCAATACGAACGGAACAGGGGAGCCATCCCTCCCGGGGCGTTCGGGGACGTCTACAGTTTCTGGCGACTCCGCTGGGGAGTTAGAGAACTTGACTCGAACTCATGATATCTTGTTTTGACTACACTTGTGTGTTTCTTTGCATTGCATGTGCATTGGTGTGCCTAGGACACCGTGTTTGCCATCTGCTATTCCTAAATGGTTTGCCGGAGGCTTGTCTTGTCAAGGCATGATCATAAGGCTGACCGGTTATGGGCTCTGCCAGTATAGGAACATAAACCCCGGTTTTACCGGGGCACCCTTTTCGACCATTCGACCTAGTACATATTCGAAATCCATAGTGACCATTCCAAACTAGGACAGGTTGCTTACCCGATATAGGTTGTTTGAAACCGCTGCGTGCGTAGTGAAACCCTAGCTCCTGACAAAATAGGACAGGGACACCCTCCCCCAACATAGGGGTGTTTTGGCTCTCACTTACTTGTTATGTGCTTTGGGGTGCGTCTCTATACGAATGCATGTATCAGTTTACAGGGTTTGGGCATCAGGCCTGCGGGCGTCAGTTCAGTATTGTGGGTATCAGGCCTGCGGGCATCAGCCAATATTTGAGAATTGGTTATCTGCGGGTAGATCAGTGATTGAGGACAGTGTGTGTTCAGCTTACCGACCGTGTGTTGTTATGCCCGGCTGTGTGTTGTGCATTTACTTTAAGCTGTTATACTGTCTGTTTATCTATTTATTTATTTCCTTATTGCTTTATTTATCTTTTTACTAGGGGCAGTTTTAGCACAATTGCATCCAACCAAGTAGATATTCCCCAAGCACCCTGGACAAGAGGTCGCCGACTCAATCGATCCGAGGATCTGGTTGATGGACAACCAGTGTTTCACTCTCTACCCCCAGTTATCAGAGGGAGGCCAAGAAAACGCAGTGTATCCGAGCAGAGGTTGCCAGAGCAGTGGATTACCCCATCAGTAGACAGTCAGATTGAGATCCCGATTGTTGCTATAGAAATAGAGCTGCCAATAGTTCAGACAAATCAGGGCAGTATGGCGGTACCAACAGGAGTTGAGGAAATGATGCGTCAGATGCAAGAGACCATGAGAGCCATGCAGCAGGACGCTGTTCGCCGGGATGAGTTTGCCAAACAACAGGCTGAGATCATGGCCCAGCAAGCAGAATTAATTGCCAGGCTGCAACAACAAAACGGAGCATCTGCTTCACACCTGGTCCCTCCCCCACCAGGAATCCCAGCACCCGATGAGGCACCAAATGTCCAGGCAGATACGGACATACCAACAGGGCCAACTCCGCCCCCTAATTCTGCCCCAGCTATCTAAGGCACCTACGCCTGTCAATCAACCGGACTCTCCCTTCGAGTTCGAGGTAGACCATACAGCACTGAAATTGAGCAAGCTCGAGAAGCTATTCAAAAAATCCCAGGGGGTAAAGGCTATCCCGGATATCGAGGACGGATATACCGACGTGGCTGTAACGTTGCCGGATAGATTCAAAATGCCGCAGATCGATCGCTTCGACGGATCTGGTGATCCCATGGTCCACCTCCAGCTATTTTCAGATATATTATGGCCAATGGGCCTTACCAGACCCCAGAAACTTTCGCTATTCGGCCGGACCCTGTCGGGCATAGCCGCTATCTGGTATGCGAAGTTGGAGGATGATGTCAAGCAAAGTTGGGATAAAATGGCCGAGGCCTTTGTTGCGCAATACTTTTACAACACCCAAATTGAGATTACAACTCGTGATCTCGAAACAACAAGGCAGGAGCACAAAGAGAGTTTCTCGGATTTCGTGACCCGGTGGAGGGCGAAGGCCTCGATGATGACTTTAAGGCCCACCGACAAGGACCAGATCAGGATGATTGTGCGCAATCTCCAGCCAAAACTGATGCAAAAGATGATTGTACTCCCCTTTCTCACCTTTTCTGACCTGCATGAGATGGGGGTACAAATTGAAGATGCAATGAAGTAGGGTCTGATTGACCAGGATAAGGAACAGCCCAGAAGAACCTTTAACCGCAACAATAATGCAGGCCCGAGTGGCGCTGCAACTACAAGGACTTCAGAAGTCAGCATGGTCACCACCATTCCCCCTCCCCTTCCAAGACCCATGGCAGCCACACCTTTCTCCGGTGCATCCGGAAGTAACACCCAAACCACCAAGTACCCACCCAGAGGCCAAAGGAACTTCACCCCATTGTATATGCCCCTGTCCAAGGCTCTAGGGGTATTAATCAGGAAAGGGCATCTAAAACCCCTAGAGCCGAGGCCACTACCAAACCCACTTCCCCCCTCTCACAACCCAACCAAATACTGCACGTATCACCAACAACATGGTCACGACACTGACCAATGTTTCCAACTACGTCATGAGATTCAAGATCTCATTGACAAACAGGTGATTTTGCCACCAGAAAGACCCAATGTCATAACCAACCCACTCCCTACACACAACCATGCTCCACCTCCCAAAAGAATCAACTTTATCCAGACTGGGGTCGTGTCTTACGATCCTAGCATCTATATCACCCCGTCCCATCTCCCTAAGCCGTAGGTGTTCCTCCCTGACTGCACTGACTTTTTGTGCATGCTGAGGACCTCCACAACCCAACCCGAGCCAATGGTGGTGACTGTCGAAGACAGAACAGAGGAGGTTTCAGAGGAGGAGGGAATTACTGAATCAGGGTTTGAGCAGTCTGGGAACTTTGCTGGGGAAGCCTACGATCTGAGTGATTACATCTTATCAGTGGGCCAGGTTAAGCCAAGTGTAGAATTACCAGAAAGGACAGAGTTGTGTGTGATCCGAGGAGATGGATTTGAGCAGAGGGCAGATGACGTGGCCGCTATAGAAGAGGACTTTGCCAACCTACAGTTTTTTAATGACCAAGAATCAAGGGGCGCGGCAGTCAACTGGTTTGATTATGAGGAATCGGCAGAGGTTACCGGATGGCTGGATGATTAACCAGATATTGTGGAAGAGTTCCAACCAGAACAGGGCCTCGAAGGGGCGAGAGTATCAATTGTGGCCGGAGGGGCCGGAAGTCAGAATACATTGTCGGAGAGCGCCAGTATGAAGAATTTCGCTCGGGACTTGAGCATTGTGGATGCAGAGAAAGTTGAACAACAAACTACACTGACGCAGTCAGAACAAGAAAAGTTTTGGGATCCTGAGAGAATCAGGAAGGAAAAAGCCCATGAAGGGCCCAAGGGTGCTGTGGGCACAAGAACAGAAGATGCTACGGGCATGTGGACTGAAGGTACTGCGAGTACAATCATACCAGGGCCGGACAGGTGTCTGTCAGCCGCCGACAGAATGTGGTGGGAAGACGATGATTTATGTCTCGCCCACACAGATGAAGATTGGGGGAGTAACCAACCAGATGATACCTGGTATATCGGCGAGGTCGATCATATGACAAGAAGTGGGCGGTATTTCAAACCCCCGCACCTAGACCAGCCAGAAGCATCTGGAAAGGATAAGGAAGCTGAGAGACAGAAAGAAAAGAAAATCGAAGAAGAGGCGATACTGAAACAGTTAAAGAAGATACAAGCAGACATCTCCATCTGGGGACTGCTTATGGCATCACGAGTACACAGGCAGGCTGTCCTTTCAGCCATGGACAAGGCCAAGCTTTCTATAGACACCACACTCCTATTTAATTGGGGATGATGTCAGATTCAAAACTGGAATCTTCAATGGTCAAAAAATTTATCTTGCAATTTCATTGTTAGCTCAGTTCATCAGGTTAGAACCTGATGGCATTTGATGGCTTATGAGTGGGGTGGATTGAATTGGAATGTTGTGACAGATGTACTGACATTAGATATTGGTGATTGTGGATATCCCATGGCATGCGGCAATTACGACATTTGTTCACCAAACAGACAATGCAGTAGTCTTGAGGAAACTGCCACCAGCAACACTTCCATGCAAATAAATTCTAGGCAATCCAATCTTGGATGTTCCCTTGTTACACCCATTTCTTGCAACCATTCTCAATATCACATCCTTTCAGAGCTTAAGAATATTAGTTACTTTTACTTTAACATGTAATACAAAAATAGAAGCAATTACTACATTGATGAGAAATCAAAGTTAGAGGATTGCAAAAAGAGTTGCTTGAAACATTGTTCATGCAAAGCCGCTTTGTTTGCACATGACTGGGACTATTCAAAAAAAGGTTGTTTATTGCTATCTGAAGTCTATTCTCTTATAAATAAGGAGGGAGGGGATGATAAAGTCATTATATTTCTTAAACTACAAAAATCTCCAATTCCTTCACCAACAAATTCTCCTCCAAAGAAATCAACAAACATCAGAGTCATATTGGGATCCGGTCTCGGAGCTTTCTTTGGTGTATGTTTTATGGTTGCTGCTTGCATTTTCATTTTCAAAAACAAAGGAGAATCCGAGGGACTTGATGAGTTCTTTAGTGATCAAGTACTAGGGCTGCATCCTAGACTCTCTTATGAAGAATTGAGAGCCATGACAAGCAATTTGGATAATAAGCTCGGGGAAGGAGGGTTTGGGTTAGTGTTTCAAGGGATATTAAGTAATGGCGCCAAAGTAGCTGTGAAGTGTCTCAATGGTTTTGGTCAAGCTAAAAAGTCATTCTTAGTTGAAGTTGAGACAATAGGCAACATTCACCATTTCAATTTGGTGAGATAACTTGGATTTTGTGTTGAAAAATCATATTGGCTTCTAGTGTATGAGTACATGTCCAATAAATCGTTGGATACATAGATCTTTCAAAGGCACCAAGAGCTCACTCTTGGGTGGCAATCCAGAAGGAAGATCATCATGGATATAGCCAAGGGACTAACCTATCTCCATGAGAAATATAGGCAAAAAATATTTCACTTGGATATCAAACCCCAAAACATCCTCTTAGATAAATATTTCAATACGAAAATTTCTAATTTTGGATTATCAAAACTAATTAATAGAGACCAAAGCCAAGTTGCAACAATGATGAAGGAAACACCTGGCTATTTGGCTCCCGAATGGTTGAACTCAATTATCACTGAAAAAGTAGATGTCTATGGCTTTGGTGTTATGGTCTTGGAAATGTTGTGTGTGTGCAAAAATTTAGATGGATCTCAACCTGAGAAAGATATGCATTTACTAAGTCTATTTAAAAGGAAAGCAGAGGAGAAATGACTGATATTGTTGATAAAGGCAATGATGAAATGCAGTTACATAGTACAGAAGTTGTGGAGATGATGAGGGTTGCTGTGTGGTGTCTACAAAGTGATTTTTCCAAGAGGCCTTCCACGCCAATGGTGGTTAAGGTCTTGAAGGGTTCTTTTGATGTTGAAAACAACTTGGATTATAACTTCATAAATCCTGTAATATGAAGAACAATTCCAGATGCTGATCACCAAGAGGATGCCACTGATGCTGGTTGTACTCTATTGTCTCCATTAGCTCTATCTGGACCAAGGTAAAGAAAGGAGACTTCTTCAAGCAAATTTTTGCAAATTGATTAATTTTGTACGGTTTGTATTTACTTATTATTATTATATTTTTTATTTTGTGTTTTCACTTTGTTTTTTGGAGATGATAAGTCATATGATTCCAATTTACATTAGAAAAATTGCCATATAAGGCTATAATATTAGGTTGTTACACGTTTCTTGATATGTATATATATATCATCTTGTGAAACTATTGCCACGAATATACTTGTTTGATGTCATGTGCATTTGTGATGTCTTAATTTTTTTCTTCTTCCAATCAATAAGAAATTAAGTAAAAATAGAATAAGGATCACTGCTGTGACCCCCCTAAATTTCTTCCTGCTGTGCCTAAAATGGCACAGTTTCACCCTCTTTTTTTTTTTTTTTTTTTTTCATGTTCTCACTATGTTTTTTGACATGATAAATTACACTTTATCCATATATTTGGTCACTTTTTTATTTTAATTCTTAATTTTTTTTTAAGATTTATAAAATTTATTTTTTTATTTTAGGGTTTAGGGTTTAATTCTTAAATTTTTTATTTTTTTTATTTTAAGGTTTAGGGTTTGATTCTTACAATTTATTTTTTTAGGGTTTTGGTTTTAGGACAAAGTGTAATTTATCATGCCAAAAAACATAGTGAAAACATGAAGAAAAAAAAAACCTTCGCCGTTTCAGGCGTCATAGGGGGGTCACAGCAGTGACCCCGTATCCTCTATACAAATCCAAATCTAATTTAAATTATACTAACTTTACCTATTTTATATGGACTTTTTTTAACAAATATTTCTTTTCTATATATATAGTTTTTTTTTTAATGACAAATGAGATAATTCACAAACCCAATACTAATTTTATGTTTCACGTTTTTCTTCTTAATTCTTTCAAGGGTATTAGGATTTTTTTTATAGATATATATTTGGTCACTTTTTTACTTTAATTCTTAAAATATATTTATTTATTTATTATTTTAGGGTTTAGAGTTTAGGGTTTAATTATTAAAATTTATTTATTTTTATTTTAGGGTTTAGGGATAAAATTTATTTTTTTATTTTAGGGTTTAGGGTTTGTAGTTTAATTCTTAAAATTTATTTTTTTTATTTTAGGGTTTAGGGTTTAATTCTTAAACTTTATTTTTTTTATTTTAGGATTTAGGGATAAAATTTATTTATTTTTTATTTTAGGGTTTAGGGTTTAATTCTTTTTTTTTTAATTTTAGGGTTTAGGGATTACGGTTTAATTCTTAAAATTTATTTTTTTATTTTAGGGTTTAGGGTTTAATTCTTAAATTTTTTATTTTTTTTATTTTAAGGTTTAGGGTTTGATTCTTACAATTTATTTTTTTAGGGTTTTGGTTTTAGGACAAAGTGTAATTTATCATGCCAAAAAACATAGTGAAAACATGAAGAAAAAAAAAACCTTCGCCGTTTCAGGCGTCATAGGGGGGTCACAGCAGTGACCCCGTATCCTCTATACAAATCCAAATCTAATTTAAATTATACTAACTTTACCTATTTTATATGGACTTTTTTTAACAAATATTTCTTTTCTATATATATTTTTTATGATAAATGAGATAATCCACAAACCCAATACTAATTTTATGTTTCACGTTTTTCTTCTTAATTCTTTTAAGGGTATTAGGATTTTTTTTTTAATGCTAAATTGCCTTCTTTTTTCTTTTTTTCTTTTCTTCTTCTTCTTATTTTCCAGTACATTATTCTACACCCAATACCAATTCTATAGGGTAAATTACACTTACACCCCCTGAGGTTTAGGTTAAATACATATCACCCTTGACGTTTGGAAAATTACACTAACCTCACTGTCATTGTAATTATTTAAACAGAATGAAAACATTGAACTCATGTACTCTCTTTTTCTTGCTTTGCTTTACTTCCTCTTTTTTTTATAATTATTATTTTTTTAAACTTTTCTTTGCTTTACTTTTTTTTCTTCAATGTAATTTTCTCTGTTTTTCTATTAGGAGTTGTTGCCTTTTATATAACCAGGGGGTTTGTAAAATAAGACCATTAATCACAAGGGTGAGAATGTAATTTTCAGAACGTTAGCGGGTGAAATGTAATTGGACCAAACCTTAGAGGGTGTCAGTGTAATTTACCCTATTCTATATTATGGATTTATCGTTTAAATTTTATAATGATTCTATATATAAAATTATACTTACTTTCCTACATTATGTTTATGTTATATAATCACAACTCACATGAGGCAAAACTTGTACAACAATGATACTCTCGAGGATCTCTAAAGTTTGCATTTACTGCTTAAGTTACTTTTTCAATTGTTGAACAGTATGTTCTTTTATGTTTTGACATTATATTATAGATGATTAATCACTTCACACACTAAGATATATCTATCGTTTGAATTTTTTTTTGGGGGGGGGGTTTAGATGTTATGTAATTCTTTCTTGATTAGTTGTTGTTGATTTTTTTTTATATAATTGATATTTTAATTTAATTAAGAATGTTTATTTTACAATCCTACAATTTAATATATATATATATAAAATTATTATATAATAATCCAACTACAACATATTCATATTTAAATTTTTTAATAAATTTTATATAATATCTATTTCTACATATTTTTATTTTCCAAATGAATATAAAAGAAATTAAATAGTTAGAATCACTTTTCTAATTTTATATGTACTTATGTATTCTTCTAATTTAACTATATTTTAAAAATATCAAAATGAAGTATTCATATACCATATATATATATATATATTATTAAAAGTAGTGTTTTACTATTTTATAATTTAATATATATCATACAAAATTATTATATAATAATTACACTTTTATAATACGATAAAACTAAAATTAATATATATAAGTATTCAAGTAACAATTTTATAGAACGATAACTCCAATATTATCAAAATAAATAATAATATCATATTTGTGGGGAAGTGGTTTGGAAATACTCTTTTGATCCACTTGGACGTTCGAGATCCTCAGCTGATGACTTGGACGACCTGAAAAGAAACAAACACTTCGGTCGGGGGTGCCGGAATTAGCACTCCGACGGTTAAGTCAGTGTATACTCTCTTAGTTACTTGTATTTTAAGTTAAGCATACTAATTCTCACATACCTCTTTCTGACTGATGTTCTTCTATTTATATCTTTTCTTTCTTGGGCCTCGGGACTGGGCCCATTTTTAATTCATCGTATAACTATTTACTCGGCTTCTTTTGTTGCAAACCACTTTTCACTCGGCCCCTTACTCAACTGGCTATTTGGCCGAATAGGGTAGGATTTAAATGTGCAAGACGGGGCCGAATGCGATGTATATATTTCAACTCTCCAGGTCCAATTATTCGGCCTCTTTACGACTCCCAATATTCGGCCCCCAAAATTGCCCCCTAAGCACTCCACTAACGACAGTTAGTTGGAGTGTTTGGTTTCAAACTCGAAAAGTCAGAGCCGAAATTTGGCGGCTAATCTCATTCCAACACAGATGTTAGAGCACACGCCTCTTGGTTATCATTTCACTTCCCGCCCCTTCGTACGCTTCCATTTATTGTGATTTAAAATCTTGTCGTCTTTTCGAACACACATTTTTGGATGCTTAGAGTTTTTGGACTGCCTTCCGACTCACCTCTACAACTTCCATTCATCCTTCATTGTCCCTCCGTCTCTCGTAAGTTTTCTTCCTCTCTGCTTTGAATCTCTTTTCCTGGTTTGCCTTTAGTTTAGTACGTTCCTATAGGTTGACTGAAATGGCAAAGCATCTGAAAGACCTACTCTCCGCGAATCAAATCTCTGGCTTTTGACGCCATATTTCTATCCCTGATGACGTCCGTCTGTCGCTTGTGATAGACGGCACCCTTGATCGTCTTCCCTCTCTTATCAATTGCAGAGGGTAGAATCTGTTTCCCGCTTCATCCATTTCTTAGGGCTGTCCTTCGCCGCTGGGGTCTAATCACCTCCCAACCCAATGTCAACTTTTTCAGAATCGTAATGGGGATTATTGAGCTAAACCGTCGCCTTAGGATTAACCTCGACATACCTGCTATTCGGCATTGTTACGCCTTGGCCATGTCTTCTGGTCGGCATGACGCTATTTCCTTAGGGCTAAGGACACCGACCATCAACTACTGACTATGCTTTCCAGCTCTAGCAAGCGAGTCGATAATGTTATGGTCGTTGTCCGAGGCAACTGGGAATTCGACGAAGGCGAGGATCGCCTTGATCCTATTCCTAGACGAAGGGGCGAACCAGGTGGCCGTTTAGCTTTTTGTATTTATTTTTCTTATACTTATAAAGCTTCATTTTTTAGATCTCATGGTTTTGCTTGTGCAGGAAACGATTTGAAGAAAGTCTTGACTTCAACCGACGACGTCGTTCTTTCAAAAATTAAAGTCGCGTTGAAATACTTCAGCCGTCCAAGCCTTCAGAAACAATGGAGGGTGGCCCACATTCTTCTTCGATACGAGCCGACGTACACGACGTTCTCGGCAGCAGAAAACATCCTGATTCTGAGGGGTGACGAGTTTCTTACGGCTCTTGTTTTAACCAACTCCAGAAACTTGCGCCAAATTGGTTTCGACGGATCTGACTCGGAGCGTGCGGAAGTCACTGAGGTCGCTGAAGAATCAGGCCAACCCGAGGCCGAAGTAGACGACGCTTTAAGGGCAGCCTTTGAGGAAGCCGGCCTCAATTTAG